GGAACCTGGAGAATGGATGCTCCCTGCATCAGTGGGGCTGGTGGATGGGCAGGGTCAAGATGCAAATGGACATCTCAGACAGAAATGTGGAAAAATGTAGCAGTGTTCTGTTTCCTCAGGTGATGGACTTGTCTTCCCCTTGTATCACCCCGTTATTCTCTTTTGTTTTCCCTTTGTGTGTGAAACATAGTCACGATTGATGGAAATGGAATGAGAAATGATAAATGAAATAACCTTGAAGAAAGTAACTTACACCTTTACCCTCCCCCTCCCCCCCTCAGCAATGATCACTGGAATTACATCTGGTTATCTATGGGATGGTTGGGGAGTCTCATGTAAGTAAAAATGGATGTGCTTGAAGCAATAAAACATTTTATCTGCTAATAGAATAACAATTCCCACAGCTGGACCTAAGGCAGAATACATGTTCACAATAGAGATTAAGCAATGGATGAAATATGTAAGAATATTTCTATGTCAACTGAGTTTTCAAGTACAATTGATATGGCAAGAAACCAAGCAGCACCAAAACAGTTCACAGACCTCCAGTGTCTCCAGCAGCTCCACCCACACCTGCCTGATGAGACTGGGAGGAGATGAAGGGAGTGGAAATGGTACAAATTGGCAGGTGCTTGCATAAGCCACTGCTCTTCTCCACTGTGGCACAGAGTTAGACATGCAGATTTGCTGCATAAATTGCCCCTGAGGACTTGCTATGTAGTTAAACAGAGCATAAACAGGGATATGGTGTGATCCTTGGGGTGCCCTGCACAGGGCCAGGGGTTGGACTCTGGGATCCTTATGGGTCCCTTCCAGCTCAGCATATTCTGGGATTGAGTGATTGTGTGATCCACAGCCCTGTTGTCCCAGTGGAAAATGGCAATAGTGGTTCTTGCCCGGTCTTTGCATCAGAAGTTGAGGAGGAAATTTTCTGTCTTGCATAGACACACATGCATATCAACTCCTTCAAGTTCCCTTTCTGTGTGGGATTATATTTCTATGAAAATTTCTTTTACTGGAAATGTGTTTTCTGGTGAAAGTATTAAATGTAAATATTTTCAGTTAAAAAGCAAAGCCATTTTTGTTTGAGGGCATTTCTACCTTGAAGCTGGAACAAACTAAACAATCATGAAAATAGTTGACTTCTTCAAATTCAAAAAAAAGAGAAAGAATAAAAAGTTGTGGTTTTAGCAGCTCCAGGAGGAGCATTCAGAGCAGGCAGTGCCTCTGCCTTATGGCACTATCAACCTGGGGAAGAGGGCAGACATCAAAGGAAAATATTACATATGTTTTGTCACAATACATAAAGCTGTAAATAAAATAATTTCTGAAAGCACACAAGTCTTACTCTGATGCCCTCCTGGTGCACACAGGAGGCAGGCTGCGAGGGCGTTGCGCTCAAACTGGATTATCCCGAGTGTGTGTCACTGTTCCAGGTCAATGCTGTCACCATCGATGGGATCACACCCCTGTTCAATGCCTGCTGCAGTGGCAGTGCTGCCTGTGCCAGCGTGCTGCTGCAATTCGGAGCCAAGGCACAGCACGGGAACCAGCTGCCTTCACCCATCCATGAAGCCGTCAAGAGAGGTAACGCTCAGGGTGTTACGCTGAGCAATGCTCAGCAACGCTTTTGTTGCTGACAAAGCACCTGAAAAGCAGAATTATTTCCATGTCAGTACAGATAAATAGACTGGGTTGTTGCACAGAGCTGTGTCTGGGTGTGTTCTGCCCTGCAGCCGTTCAGGGCCAGCTCTTCCCTCCGCAGGTCACAGGGAGTGCATGGAGACCCTGGTGGCCCACGGCGTTGACATCGACCAAGAGGACCCGCAGCATGGGACCCCTCTCTACGTGGCTTGCACCTACCAGAGGACAGACTGTGTCAAGAAACTTTTGGAGCTAGGTACACTGGGAGAGGGGTGGGGGACAGCTACGGTGGTGTGAGTGAGTGCTGCTGGTCTCTCTGGGCTGCCTCTCCACTGTAAACATCATGGGTTGTTCCCACAAGAGTTGTTTGGGCAGCCTGAGGCTATGAGACTCATTTGAGGCCATTAAAAATTTCTCCTGTGTTGATGAAGAAATTATGCTTTCCTCAGTAAAAAGCCCTCTAATTACAGACACCTCCCTGAGGCTGTCTGAATGTGAAAATGGAATTATTTCAATTTTCTAGCATGGTAACAGGAAGCACAGAAAATGCTGGCTAATATTACTGACCAAAATCAACTCTTGCTTAACACAGCAATTTATCAAAGCCATTAAATTCACCTGCTCCTCAGTGGATGATGAGGGCAGCAGTAAAGCTGCTTGGAAGAATAATCACTGCAGGTCCAGGCCCAGGCTGTGAACTAGCATAGATTTTTGCTGTCAGTGTGTATTAGCTGACTTACACCTTCTCCAAGTGTGGCCCTCCCTGCTGTGCCCAGCCAGCCTGGGGCAAGCAGTTTGCTTGCTGTGCTTCCAGAGTTATTACAGTGAGATGTCTAAAGGTCTGGTTTTTTTTTTTTTCCTGGAAATTAAATTAATATAATCCATGTTAGACTTTGTGGTATTAACAAGTTTAAAGAGCATATGGTACGCTTTGAACATGTATTGGGTTGAAGGTTGAGCTGCTCAATTCTGAGCATCACAGACACAGTTTGGTGGCCCAGAGGACTTGGACAGAGCAGGTATTTGACCCATCGAGCTTTGCAGAGCTGCTGTTGAGAGATTGAGGGAATCCTGTGTGCCATCCATCCCCTTCATTTATTGAGGTTACTGGTGGAAATCAGCCCCTGTGATGCAGCTTTGCACAGTTCTGCTGCCTCCAGATCTGACCATGAGCTTTTGTTCACTCAAGGAGCCAACGTGAACATGGGGAAGCGATTGGACACCCCCCTCCACGCAGCAGCGAGGAAATCCAGTGTGGAGATAGTGGTCTTGCTGACAGACTATGGTGCTGACCCGAAATGCAGGAATGCTGACCTCAAATGTGCCCTGGATCTTGCCACACCCAACAGCAAAGTGGAGCAGGCACTTCTGCTTCGGGAAGGTAATGATTTCCTTTCTTCTTCTCATTTTTTAAGTAAAGCAGTATTTATATCCTCTACCTAAGTAGATTTTCTTAACTGCTGAAATAAGTAATGCCCTATATAACTTCTTTTACTTTCTCTGCTGCCTTCAAACCTGTAACATGTCACAGAAATCTGTTTCCTTGCTAGATCTGCCACCTGGTGCTACAGTTTTGTGGGTAAATCAGTCAGTTATCCTGTGCTTTCTTTTCCTGTCTACTGAAGGAAAATCATACCTATTTACCTAGTGGGACTCTTAAGGTTAAAAACTGCCATAGAAGTTTATTAATAGATAATACTTTAGTACCACCACCCAGTGTTCAGCCTCACCCCATGGTTCAGTGAGTGTGTCGTCAGTTGGTTTGAGGGTGCTTTTTCTTGCCTTTTCCCTTTCCCCCAGGTCCTGCCAGCCTCGCCCAGCTGTGCCGGTTGTGCATCAGGAAGCATCTGGGGCGCTCGTGCCTGTACACAATCCACAAGCTGCACCTGCCTGAGCCACTGGAGAACTTCCTCCTCTATCGATGAGTCTGTGACTGTCTTTAGACTGGAAAAGAAAGAGGAACAAATAGTTGTTTACGCCAAGATTATATATCAAAGAAAAAAATCAAAGGCATCGTTTGCTGTCTTCTGTAGCTACCAAGCATCAGCTGCTATGTGACAGTGAAAATTGAACTCTTCTTTTCACAGGCAGTGAATGGCACTATGGACACAGTTCCCTCAGTCTGTTGCCACACCATTACACCAGCATGAGAAGTTCCAGTACATAAACAGCTCCCTTGGCACGTTTGTAGATGCATATGCACATGTCCATTCACCCACATACACACAGAGATTTCCCCTGCATTTATTTGTGCAGTTTCTGTGCAACTCCTTTCCTTTGTCTATCCAATCTCAATGTCAAAATCAAGGTATTATGGATATTATTATAAGTGGGTATTATTCTTCCATTAGGATGTGAAAATGAAATGTGAAAATGAAAGCTTTCAGTGAACAGTAGAGGTATATAACATCCTGCACATCTTTTGTCAGCCTTGATTTTGCACCCTTTCATCTCCTTCCTGTTGTCTGCTGGAGTCGTAACAATTTCCAGCAGGCTCTGGCTGTCCAGCCACTGTACATCCCTGAGCCCTGAGCACAGCTATCCCCAGTGCAAACACATCTCGTCCTTGGAAGTACAAGTGATGTTATGAAAGCAAATGCAGAGGTTTGGAGTAAACCCACAAAATGTGTGAAAGTCTTAAAAAAACCTTTCATCTCTTCTAAAAAAAAAAATCCCTCCGAAGCTGTATCACCTGAGATCTGGCTGCATTCATTACATGAACAATTTTTCTTAGCTTAATTCCAGGACAGAACTGCAAATGGTTTCATAGGCACAGTAGGTGATATTCCAATGTACATCCTTTGCAAGGTTTAAAGAAAAGCAGAGGAAGGAGTGCTGCTTCTTTGGCTTTGCTTGCTTTGACATTTCTCGAGGTAAGTGCCTTGTGGAACTGGAGAGAAGCAGGGCCACTAAAGATAACTGTGCATCACCCAAATGCTCTCCTTGTTGGATTTTCCTCACCAGGAGAGGTTTGCAGCCTTGTCTACTCCCTCACCCCCTATTCTAGAGGCTTTAATTACCTCCCTAGGAGAAAGGATTTTTAGAGTGTTATAACTTTGTCCGTTGTGGGATTAGTTTAAATAATGTGAGGATTAGTAGCTTGGAAACAGCAGGGCTGAAAGCATGCACCTCTTCGAGTTGAGAAATGTGGGATCTAGTGACAGTTGCAGTGCCTGTTTGACTTCACAAAGATTTGTTTATTTTTCATGGGAGGTTCTTCTGGGGGATGAAATATTTCTTCAGAGCCAAGTTTTGGTAAACTTCTGCAATGAAGCAGGCAATGATGTTTCACAGTAGCTGTAATAAAATGGGAAGCAGGATTAAAAGGAGCCTGTGTCCATTTTGCTCAAGTTCACAGGTCCAAGAGTCTGCTCATACATTTCCAAGCTGTGAAATGTAGTGGTTTCTTTATGAGTTAGGAATACTGGTACCAATTATCACTGCCCATACATCTCAAGTCAGAGGGAATTGGCCTGCTGGAACCTGGATAGGGCACTGGCTTCCAGCAGCATTTAAGCTCCTGTCCCTGCTCCGGCACCAGCAGTCCCTGGTTCAATGCTAATCCCCTAATGTCACTGGGACAGTTGATCTGAGACAAAGGTCTAATGTTTCCTGTGCTTCTTTATGATTAATTCAGCACAAGTATGATAAATTGAGCTCTCAGAAGCTCATGAGACAGAACCTTCAACATTACAGTCAAAAATGGATGCACTTTTCAGCCTGAGTTTGCACATACAGAATATTATCTGATGGCAAGAGCTACTGCCCATAAAGTTCTCAGTGACATCAATGACCTTTTATAGTACAATATACCACGAATCTCAGAGATTCAAACACTAAATTCTCAAAAGACTTTGAAAATCAAATACTCTCAAGGAAGAAATGTCTATATTAATCTGATGTCAGCAGATCTGTCTCAGTTCTATACTGCAAACTCACCTGCTCTGCTCCTAAAGTGGCAGTGGGAATATTATCTGCTGTCTAAATAGACAGAGCCTCAACTATGTGAGTTGTCAGACTTGCACTGCAATCAAGGGACTAGGGCAATTTATGGGATCTGTTTCAGAATGTGAAATGCTGAATTGATTTCCTGCTGCAATCATCAATGAGAGCAATATTTCACTTGCATAGGATTTTAAATTGAAAAAATGTATCTTCATTAAGAAAATGCAAAGTCTATTCAGCCTCTCAGAGAGGTTTTTCTTAAGAAGCAGGAGAAGCTGCTCTATATTTATTCCTGATATTAGCTTCCCATGAAAAAATCACCTTACCTTTGCTTCTTCCTGGAGACATCATTCTCCCTGAAATTCTGTGTATCAGAGTCTGACAGGAACATAGTCTTAATAAAGCAGAAGAGAAGCTCAGAAGTCCTGAGATTAAGAAATTTCATTAGAAACTTTACCCCGACTTTCTTGCTCTTACCTCAAAATATTAAGTTATCCATTTAATTCTCATTGACTGTGCTTTGTGTTATAACAATGCATGGAAATACTGAAGAAATAGCTAGAGGAGGTATTTAACTTTTTGTTGCAAACATGCCATCTCATGTTAGAATAGGGAAAGACTGGGGCAATTTTCTATGTGACTATTGAGTCTTTCTGGTGATTTTTCAGAAATGAGTTTGGAAAATATCTGTCAGTTGCTTTTCTGCAGGTAGGAGAAGGGCTAACTCATCTCACAAGGTCTCTTTTCTTCAAAACAAGTGCTGTCTTCTTTGTCAGTCTATGAACATTGACTGAAACCAGTTATTTGGGTAAAGTATGACTTTCCTGACATTTTTATGTGCTGCAATGTCCCCTGCTGTACAGCATCCCTGTGCCTTTGCCCCTGACAGCTGCCAGTGCTGTCTGCTGCAGTGGAAAATGCTGTGTATTTCAACAGGAGTGGCTACACAATATGCTGGCTGCTGGGAAATTTTTTCCACTCATCAGCAGGGGAAGTTTTTTCTGCACAGACACTCATGATTCTGAATACAGACTGAATACAGTGCAAAGCACAAGCTTGGGCTGTGAATGCTCCATAGCCATAAAATCGCTGCAGAAGTGGCTTAAATAGGTTCTGATGTGCAATATAAACCCCAAATACTTCCTTTTATGTTCTCATTTTTTCAGTTTTTTTAGCCATCTAGTACAAGAGTAATTTTTCCCAGAGTTTGTCTGCAAGCATTGTGGCCACGGGGCCGTGTCCTCAGGGACATATAACAGTGAATATAAATAGGCCAACTCATTTTGGGAGGGTTTAATAAACAACATTTCTTAAGGTAGCTAGGGAAAGAAGTTTCATTCTGATTTGGCCGCAAAAAGATCTCTGTTTTGATCTCCTGACCAGCCTGTTGAGTTCAAGGTAACCTCTGTCTCCTGCAGTGCAAATCTGCTATTGGCATTTAACAATCCTTCATCCTCTCTAGGACTCATAGTCCAAAAATCTGTCTGACCTGTGTTCTGGGGTGATGGTTCCTGATGCCTTTGTGTAATTTTTTTTCAGAAATTTGCATTTCCCACATGCCAATTGCTCCTCACTGTGTTTTTTTCTAATGTTCTGCATGAGATGTATAATATATTATTGTCAAATACAGATTATTTCACACCTTCTACCTTCTACCTAATTTGATTTTTATTTCTTGAAAATTCCTTTATTCTTAAATTTTATACTATTTGTAAAAACTCATTGTGAACATTGCAAGCAAATAAAACACTATGTCAGGTTTAGAATTGAAACATCTTCAATAAAGGGTATCAGGAGTTGCAGAATAAAGCATAATCTGCATATTCAGTTGAGAAAAAGATCTGAAAGGGGGGAGGGAGTGAACCAGCAGAGCATGTCATTCAAGCATTTTGTTCAACAAGCCAGTCAAAGCAGCACAATCAGCAAACAATTGCAACTAATACATAAACTTTCCAGCAAGGGAAAAGTTTCACTGTGAAAGATTTTAAAGTCATTTTTCAGTGAATTAAACATATATTCAGAGCTTTCATTCACAGCAATCACAGAATAGATTAAACAGTCCAAAACTGTTGTAAATTCCAAAAGCCCAGACACAGTCAATACAGCAATTCTGATTGTTGAACTTATGCTGAGGTATTTTTTTTATAAGCTTGAGTTACCAGAACCACAACTGCTTACTTGGGTTCACTTTCATTCAAGTGCAAAACTGAGGTCTGAAAAAATATAGTTACATTCCAGCTATGTGTAAAAATGGGTGATTTTGGTAATTATTATAATAACATCTTTAATGCTTTTAACTGCAGATGTCCCAAACTCTGTGGTGACTAGGAACGGGGGAGAAAATGAAGCTCTCAACCAGTCTGTGTGGGGAAGGGAGGATGTGTGTTTAAATCCGTGGGCTTTCTATTTTCTCCCAGATGCAAAGATTCAGTGGAAGAGTTGTGAAAATGGTGAGAAGAAATACCCTGCCCTTGAGCAGCTTTTCAGGCCTGGAGGCAATGGATTTTTTATCTGATCTCCTACACAGCACAAGCCACAGGAACTCAACCAGTATCGACACTAACCAGGAGCAGGCGCTGGACCAGAGCATCTTTTAGAAAACGTGGAAGTCATTCAAGCTGCCCTGCACAGCCTCCACGGGAGCTTCTCAGCAGCTGCTTTCACCCCAGCCCAGAGCAAGTGGTAGCAAGAGGGTTTGTCTTTTACTTTCCATACTTCTGTTCCTGCCCAGAGCAAGGAGCTACTGCCACTGCCAGCAAGATGGGTCACTGTGCCAGTGGTGCTGCCTGGTCAAAGCCTGCTGGGTTAGTCCCTGGGATTCTGGTATCCCAAACTTGTAAAAAATAAGATGAATATTAAAGTCATTAAGGACAACAATTGATATATTGGCTGCGTGCTGGGTTTTCCAGCATTGGGCAGGTGAATTGCTAGGCACTGATGATACAGCCAGGAGCAGCCTGAGGAGTATCAAGAAGGGTAAATGGAGCTCTGGGAGCGGCAGGGTTTGAAAGGGCCAGATGAATCTGGTGAATCGATAAATGGTTGCAGGATTGGTGCCACAGGCAGGGGTTTGGCTGCTTAGGGTGTGGGACTTGGTTTAAGAAACCTCATCTGCTGGGGGAAATCTGTCAGGGAAAGGGGAGGAACATCTTCACTCACAGGGCTGCCAAGGTGGGGAAGAGTCTTTACAGTTACAGGAAAAAAGGAACTTCAATCCATTCCACTCCTGGAAGTTTGATGTCAGGGCCAGTAAGAGATCCCAGAGCCTGGAGAGGGCTGACAGGTCAGCAGAGAACACGTGAAGTGCAGCACAAGGGAATTCCCGCCTCTCCAGACAGTACATCAGCTTCATCCAGCACCCAGCTTAAATGTCTCTACACAAACATGTGGCATTGGGAATAAACAAGGTGAGTTACAGATGTGTGCAAACCTGCAGGGTCTGTGAT